CGTATGTTTAGGTTTGTGTGTGTGCGCGTGTATACATGTGTGCGGGCCACAGATAACGTTTATACACGTATATCAGGAGTGCATAATATTATGATTTCCACTGAGTTGTATTATATGTTATCAGGGGTTAATAATTACATTATTATATTAACGTTATATTATATTATATTAACCCCTGATGTTATTATAATACAGCTCAGTGATGATATCTGTAGTATATATGGTGCACCGTGCGGCTAAGTAATATCTTGGTGTAATAATTCTGACAGAATAATGACTCCAAGGTAATATTGAATGTCTATGTGATTTGTGTCTATTTTGTGATTTGCTGATTTATATATGCTCTGCCGCAGCATGCGATCGAAGCGCCACTTGCCCATGGAAACACGTAAACAAATGGAAACTAGCTCGGCAATGCCAATACCAATGGTATCCTATTCCTATAGTTTTAGTTGTTGTTAATTTGGATTTTTAATCAGTACCGTACACATCTTCACAGAAATAAGTGGGCGTCCCTGATGGCGAGCATAATTGCAAAGAAAAATCAAGCCAAACTAGCCGAAAACATATACAAACATACTCATTGTAAGTAGGCCTAAGCTGTAAAACTAAAAGTGTAAATGTAAATTGCAATAAGTAAAATATTAATAAATATGTATAAATTGTAATGACAATGTGCAAACTCTAAGTAATAAACTGAAAGAATGAGTAGACTAAAGTCTAAAGTAATAAAATTAGGCTTACTTAGTTAGTTTACCAAGCCTAAACTGCTAAAGTTAAAACCTATAATACCAAATTAAGGCTGAGAGGGCCGTCTATGTCCCCCAGGGCACTGCCGGAACGTAACCTGGCCTGGGAACGGTCCGGTATACCGGAACGTACCCTGGTACTATCTAATATGCCGGACCGTACCTCGCCTACTCCATTAACGAGTCTAGGGAGTCGCCTACGCCTACTCCCTAACCTTAGCTGAAAGGGTCTATGTCCCCCAGGGTACTGCCGGAACGTACCCTGGGTACGGTTCGGTATACCGGAACGTACCGTGGTACCAGAGCATATAAATCAAGTTGATTTATATGCTCTGCTGGTACTATCTAATATGCCGGACCGTACCTCGCCTACTCCACTAACGATCGAGTCTAGGGAATCGCCTACGCCTACTCCCTAACCCTAACCATATCAAATAGTTACCAGGGTACGTTTCGGCAGTACCCTGGGGGACATAGACCCTATGAGCCTAACCCTAACCATATCAGATAGTTACCAGGGTACGTTCCGGTATACTGGACCGTACCCAGGGTACGTTTCGGCATTACCCTGTACTGGGAGACATAGACCCTATGAGCCAAATTAAGGCCGCAACGCACATCGTGATTCCTAGCTGTAAGCCTATATTGCGTGCACCAGTGCCGTGGGAAGCACCGCGGTGTTGTCACTCAACTCGGTATTAAGCATGTGTGAGGTGGATCTATATAATCTATCATTCTGCGTACATCGGCCGGTCATTGTAAATTTTTGGATGAATAATTTTTTTACGAAAAATAAGCTTACAAGTATGTTACATTGTACTATATTAGTATACTATAGTATAGCTCAAGGGGTCGTTGTTGTATCAGGTACTACATATATGCACCCGAGGTACATATATGTATACACAAAGTGTACCAGACTTGTACTACAGAAGTGTACCCTAACCCTAACACTAACCCTAACTCTAACCCTAACCCTAACTCTAACCCTAAACATACCTCATATAAAAATATAAACATAATGCTAAACAACCTAAAACTACCTCGGGTACATATCTGTAGTACCTGATACGACAACGACCCCATCTGCTATAGTATAGGGTACCATGTTAATCAAAAACTAAAATACCCCCTCCCTAACCTGGAGCCTGTACATAGAATGAGAAATGTTGTCACGTTGAAAAATAGCCACCCAAGGTTTGGCAAAGAGCGGTCATATTTGTGTGAGGAGATTACTGACATTTTTCCTTACGTGTCACACAATTATTCTACAATAGCTGTGTTGACTTTGGTAAACAGATGCTTACATGTCAAAATATAGCGTTCTTTAAAATCCCCACTGGCCCCCAGTTCCCAGCAGAAGTTAAAATGGTACGTAACACCAATCACCAGAGGTTGTTGTTACATTACAAGAGCGTTCACTGGTAATCACTCCAGATTATAGTGAGACACAATAATCTCATGAATGGGTTGTTTTTCTCCCAGCACAATCCTTCTCTGTAACAGTTTACCACCTAAGACAATCACTCAATCTGTCTCGGTTACCAACTTTCTGTCAGCAGTTGTACCCGTAGTAAAAACTACAACCTGAAATTTGTTCCTCACTTGTTCTATCCCAGCACAATTCTTATCTGGAACAGTTTACTACAGAACAAGTCATAATCATCATGTGTCATAATGGCCACCTCTCATTCAAACACACCTCAGAGCAATCCTTTTTTTGTACACTGCTCAGTTATGGGAAGTATAGCCACAGAACAAACCACATACAGCTGCAGCATTATGATATAGCACCTTGTCAGTTCAATCATAATTCTACAGCAGTTACTCCCAGGACACACACACACACACACACACACACACACACACACACACACACACACACACACACACACACACACACACAGCAATTCCACTGAAATGCATAACTTGCACAGCAGAAGGTGTTCCAAATAGGGTTTCCCAGGTAAAACACTGTCAGCACATATTTACCATACCGTCTTATGAAATAGTAATATCACATATATCCTTTGGTGTCAACTTGACTTCCACACTGGCAGTATACCCACGTATTATTGAAGGTAGCCCCAGAGTAAACATATCTTGCTGTATTTATAAATGCCCCATGCTGGTATATGTGTATCTAGAGATGTAACTTATTTGATAGATTTAAGAATTAGGATATGTTGTGTTAGTTAACAGGTTAGAAGTGGAAGAGCTCTTGAAAATATACAGGAAACTGACCCCAGAAAAACTAGATAGGACAAAGTTCCGTGATGTCCTTCACAACACTTTCAACATGACAGATGATATCCTAATGGACAGAGGTTTGTCTGTCTATATGTAACGAATAGTTCTTATCATGTTTTAATAGCCAACTCGATTTTATTTTAAAATGCAAAGTTCAGCTGCCAATATTTAATTTCTCTGTTTAATGCTATTTAGTTATGTATTTGCGTACAATAATTTTAGGGAGAAAACAACCTTAGTTTAGTATATTTCAAAGGCACTTAATGTTGCAGTATTCAAAGCCTTTGATAAGGACAATGATAGCTTTGTCAGTATGGAGGAGTGGGTCACTGGTCTCTCTGTCTTTCTTAAAGGAACACTTGAGGAGCAAATGGCATGTATGATGTTTATTGTGGTTATTAATAAAATGGATTTAATTTCAACCCTCATTTTAAGTTATAATTCAATATAATACTTGATTACTTGTTTGTGAACTCACCTAAATATTATATAGTTTCCAAACGTCATGGCATTGTGAGACATGTAATATAATTTCTTACAGCATACCTCAGCATAAACTAGGCATTCTATTTGCATTTACTTGCAAATTTTTTTGTAGATTGTTTTGTTGTATATGATCTAAATGGAGATGGATATATATCGAGAGAGGAAATATTCCACATGCTCAAGAACAGTTTGATTAGACAGCCAACAGAAGAGGACCCAGATGAGGGGATAAAAGACCTTGTGGAACTCGCACTGAAGAAAATGGTAGATATGGTTGAGAGCGCATGTGGTATGGCATAGAATATATTAGGGTGATAGCAGTTTTAATTTAATGTCACTGCAATAAAATTGTAGTTCGTGGTCCGATGTAAACCGGGAAAATCTTTATAGAAAACGTGAAAAGGAAGTTTTACATTATAATTTAGGAGTTAGTTTACAGCTTCAACAGCATCTATCAACAGATGTTAAATTATGTCTGTAATGTCAAAAAACATACTTATCCAGTCCAGTGGCATAACTAGGATTTTTTCAGCGGGGGGGGGGGGGGGTGTAGGGCGGGCACAATATGATTTTACTGAGATGTGGTTCGAACCCTCTTTCTTTGTATTATACTGTTCTAACGGCATTGTTTTTAATTCAATTTTTTTTTATCAAGCATGAATTTTTAGTGGAGGGGGCACCTGGGGGGCACAAAAAATTTGTGGGGGGCACGTGCTTCCCCAGGCCCCCCCGTAGCTACGCCCCTGATTCCAGTCCCTAACTGTACTTACAGTACCTTTCTGGTGGTGTTCCATAGGTAAAGGTAGTGGGTAGTGGTGAGGTTAATGTATTTTCCAAGTACATAGTCGTTTCTGCCAATTTTAGTCATCATGACAAACGTCACGCTTCTTTAAAAGTACTAATTAACTTACCACCTAAACTGGTTCAAAGCTAGATCCAACTAGCATAAAAAGTAGTTACTTTTGTCTACATCTAATCTAGGTATGTAAATACTATAACCGAAATATTTAATCTGAATCTGTATAATATTAACTCATAATAATACATCGTGAATAATACTGTGACAGGACTATGACCACGACAGTAGGCTATCTTTCTCCGACTTCAAGCAAGCAGTAGAGTTGGAGAACTTGCTACTTGAGGCATTTGGACCGTGTCTGCCAGATGCCAAGGCAAGTATCAACATGTGCATCCAAAAACAAACCACTGGCATAAAGGTGGCAAATGTGTACGATATGGTTTATGATTTACATCATTTGTGGGTTATTCTATAACCAATCAACTTATGGATTTATTACATATCTATGTATTATGCAAACTTACTTCCTGCCTATTATTCTGCATGACGGATTTTATTCCCACATTTTTTTTTTAATGTCAGTGAATCCCAATGTCATTCTCACTGTGTTATCTGAATGTCACACTATTTAGGTGTGCATATGGTGAGATCATATGTATACCGTTATTGATGTATGGGAACAATGAACTAAACTAATCTCATTTTTTTCTTATAGGCTGCAGATGGATTCCTCGCAACCTTCACTGGTGTTACTGTGTAAAAATCTTTATTATATAATGTTACGTGAACGATTTGATAGTTTTTCTTGCTTCCTCATATATATATTATATTATATATGTATACACATACATATATATATATATATATGTAATTAACTGTACACTCAAGCAGTGTAAGTTAAGTACACTAATCAAATTATATACTTGCATAGTGAATTCAGTTTGTCATTTTTACAATACATAATAAAAAGACATACCATAAGTGCATAATAATATTGTAGGCCTCAATTCTCTGTATTATTAATTTAGCTCTTGGTATTATTATAAACCTAGATGATGACCTCACCTAAGGCCAAAACAAAATATAGGTGTGGTTACGGTTTCCCGACCGACCCTAAACATTTTATTGTCCATTTTCTTTAGTCAAAAAAATAAATAAAAAATAAAAAATAATATGAATTGGACAGTTCCTGCTTCAAAAGGCACAACGCGCATCCTTCGGACATGGTTCGTAAATAAAATATTTCAAGAAAATAAAATGTCTTACCTACCTACCCTATTTTTTTCCGGCATGTAACGGTAACCACACATATATATTTGGTTTTGGCCTAAGTATAATAAAATGTATACAATGTATACGTGTTGATTAATATAATTTTTTATTTGAATGCATGACAAAAAAAGGAAAAGATTGATATCTCTTAACGATATAGCAGGTTTATTTTAACCAACATCGTTACAGCAACCATCTTTTTCCGCGTTCCATCTAGATTTCAATATATGCCACAATTAGATCATCTTCCTCAGAAGAGAATTAATCATGTCCTCGCGGTTGCCGAAATCTCCACCCTCAACGAAGTGGTTAGCCTTCTTGCGCCAGCCACCAGTTGGTGTGTTCAGCTTGAATGGCCACAGGAAGTTGCTCACCTGCTTGAAGTTGGGACCAACGGTAAAGAGCTCGTGGACAATGTCCTCAATGCAGATGATGCCCAACTTGCCAAGAGACTTCTCAATAACCGCATTGGCGATTATTGGTACCCGGCATTTGTTAACCTTTGCAAAGCCTCTTTTGTAGACGAGATCTCGTACACTCTTTAGGTTTAGATAGCCCCAGCAAATGTACGGCTCAGCAATGCGCAGCATCTGGATGGTAGCCTTGTTCAAACGCACGAAGACGCCATTGTTGATCTGACGCAGACGCAGCAGCTGCAGCGTCTTCCTTACACGCGGGTGAACGCCATTGATTCCGCGAATGCGCATTACGAAAGCAACCTTTGGTTGGGCTGGTACATGAAAGTTGCCTTTAAGGCGCGCTTGCTTCGTCAGCCTGATGACATCCTTCTCTGCGGTGCGATACTCCTTGACGTACTGCTCAGCGCGTTTGAAGTACTCCACTCTCTTTGCCTTGTTTCTTTTCTTATTCTGAAGCTTGTTCTGGAGGCGCTTGGCCTTAAGCTCGGCTACTTGCTTCCGCTTCTTAAGGATGGATTCGGGTACCTGCGGTAACTTCTTCTTGTCTGTGCTCGTCATGGTTGGTGTCTGAAAAGTAAATACAATATTGTGGATAAGGCACACATTGCCACAAGTCACAACCAATTTCAGTACAATGAACACACGGCTACAAAGCACAATGCACTTTTGATGACCAAATGCACGCCATTTATGAAACAAACCATTTTGATATTAAAGAAACTACTTAAATAAACGGCAAACGAAGGTGTAACGAACAAGAGCCGCAGAGCGTCTGGGCTCATCTGGGGTCTGTTGCTACGGTTATGAACGTACAATTTCAGTCGTGCGTAGTGACACATTTGTTAGGCGCAGATATGCAGACAGATACGCAGTTGCGTACACATCATTGTTAGGACACGCTCACTATCTCCCCCCAT